TTTTTTTTATCTTCAATTTGATCAAATTATTCATTTGATTTGTTCTTTTTATTTAATGTAAAGCATGTACTATATGAACTATTGAATAATAAGAAATGAATTCATCATCTTTACATATTTCAATGCATTCATTAAGATCTATTATATAATATAATATAATTGAAGGATATTTAATTTTTTAATGGTGCAATTTTTTAACTAAGAAATATAGACTTCTATCTTGAATATTAGTTGCATATAATTTATGATTTCAGTTAAGTATGGTTATGAATTTATCTTTCAATAATCTCAAAATATATAATTTTTTATCAAATCTACCTATAATTAACAACTAATATGATAATAAAAACTCTTTATATAATTGTATTTACGAGATTGTTTCAATAGATGTATTTTATTATATCTAGTTTCATGGCAAGCTGCACTATCATTTCTTGTGAATTACTTGCTATATAATCAGTTACTAACTTTTCTTTTATAGATTTAATTTGAACATAATTTCTTTTTAAAATTTCCATTGTGAAGTATTTCTTGACAGTTTTTTATTTTCATATCAAGTAATTGATCGAATTCAGTACTATATGCAAATAATCATGAAGATAACCGTTCATGAGTTCTAGAGCATTTATCGTTCTGAAAATGATTTAATTAAAATGCTGCATTGCAGAATGTTCTCGCCATATTATTTCACTTTTTTTTATAGGTCATGATGACGAAAAGAGTATGAATAAGGCTGACGATGGTGAATTTTTGCTACTAGGACATGTTAATCCTATTTAACTTTAAGTAATATACAAGCAGTTTACTATAAGTTGTGAATGTAGGTATTCTACTTTTGTTTGTACTACCTTAATCAATAGAGAAGAATGAAAATTATTCTTTTTCTCGGCATAATTTAATGAAAAATTTATATGGAATCATATATAAATTATGGTTTGTAATATAATTTTTCCGCGAACATTGAAAAATAATAGTTTTTTTCTTTGAGAAGACAATCAAATATTTTTAAAATGTCATAGGAGTATGCATAGATGTTGACATAGGTGACTAACAATACTTTTCTTTCTTCAAAAAATGAAAAAGTTTGTATTATTCTTGTTCGTCGATTTTATTGTTATTAATAGATGTTTGTGTTATTGTCTGTTCTTTGTCACTAAATACATAATAGCAAAACAGTACCTGGAATAAAAGAATGTTTTTATGCCAAGTAGGAAAAAAGACAAATATTCTGCTACACACACATACGTATAAATACACCTTTATTTTTTGAATAATGCAGGATTAATTTGCTCGCACGTAGATCAATCGAATTCCATACATAGTATGAGCCAAAACAAAGTATCTACAGGTAATAGTTTCTCAAATGGAGGAAAATCAAGACAAGTAATTGCTCCAACCAAAGGTAAAACAGTAACGAAACAAAAAACACTCACTGGTTCATCATCATCATCACCTATTCCTACTGCCACGCCAGCTGATGTTGTTGAAGATGCTTCTGATTTGCAAAACTATACTATCTTCTGGTTAGATTCAAACATTACGCTAGACAACAGTGATTGTCTTAATACAATCACACAGTTACAATCTATAGGTTATACTGTTCGTGTGTTTGATGATGCTAATGAATGTATTAATATTCTGAATAAGATTAAAAAGCAGAAAGTATTACTGGTAGTATCTGATGAACTTGGTCAAAATATTCTACCTCGTATTCATGATATGCATCAACTCGCAACAGTCTTCGTATTTTGTAACAGCGAATCAAACGATGAATCGTGGACGAAAGATTGGATTAAAGTACAAGGTACTTATACAAATATTAACGATCTTTGTGAATCAATACAACAAATAATACGTCAATACGATGAAGATTCTATAAATATTAGTCTTATTTCCACAAATGATACATCTGATGGTCAAAATTTAAATCAACTTGATCAATCATTTATGTATACACAATTAATGAAAGAAATTCTTCTTGAGCTCCCATATGATGATAAAAATATTAAAGAATTAGTTACTTATTATAGTGATAAATATTCTAGTAACGAAAATGAATTGAAAAATATTAAAAAGTTTCAAGATGAATATGTCAGTAAAACGCCTATATGGTGGTATACTTATGAATGCTTTATTTATCATCAGCTTAATTGGGGTCTTCGAGAACAAGAAGTTGATGTTATTATTAGAATGGGTTTTTTTATTTCTGATTTACTGCAATTTATTGAAGAACTTCATAAAAAACAAGCAAACGATTTTCAAAACGAATTTACAGTCTATCGTGGTCAAAGTATATTACCAGAAAAATTTGAAAAAATGAAAAAAACAATTGGTGGATTGATATCGTTTAATAATTTCTTATCAACAAGTTTAAATAAAGATGTTGCTGTGAGATTTGCCAACAATGCTTTGAAAGATCCTTCGTATGTGGCTATTATATTCATCATTACTATTAATCCATCAATCTCATCGACTCCTTATGCATGTATTGATAAATTTAGTTACTATGAAGCTGAAAAAGAAATTTTATTCTCAATGCCTACTATTTTTCATATAAGTGATATAAAACCAAGTGGTATTAACAATCGACTTTGGAATGTTCATCTTACATCGACGGGTAAGAGTGATGAACAGATTATTAATCTAATGAAACATATGCGAGAAGAAATTCAAGGTTCATCACCATTATATCAATTAGGTGCGTTAATGATAAAACTTGGTGAATTTGATAAAGCTGAAGAAGTATATATTAATCTTCTTAAACATACATTTGATGAACGTGAAAAAGGTAATATCTATTATCAACTTGGACAGATCAAAGACAGTCAAGAATTGCACGATAAAGCACTTGATTACTATCAACAAGCATTAACAATTTATGAAGATAAACTTTCTCCAAATCATTCTAACATAGCTACATGTTACAATAATATTGGTTTGACATACGATAATATGGGTGATTATCAAAAAGCACTTCCATTTTACGAAAAAGCACTAGATATCTATCAGAAAACTCTTGATGCTAATCATCGAAATATAGCTTCACCTTCCAGTAGTATTGGTTTAATATATAACACTATGGGTGAATATCAGAAAGCACTTTCTTATTGTATAACAGCACATGAAATTTTTCAAACAAGTCTTTCATCAAATCATCCACTACTAGCTACTTCATACAGTAATATTGGTACAGTATATCAGAATTTGAAAAATTATCCAGAAGCGATATCATCATATAAACGTGCACTTGAAATTGGACAATCAGCATTACCACCTACTCATCCAGATCTTGCCGTATATAGACATAATCTTGAATCTATATCAAAAAAAGACTCAAACTAATCATTGATATATATATATATAGAACACAAATAGTTATAGTTATGTCATTTCTAATATAGCTAACTCTATGTTATTATATTCAATTCTTTATCAAATTGTGTGTTTTAATCATAATGAAAAAATTGAGATTTTAATTAATATGATGCTTTTCATACTGTATTCATTGATATACTATGATCAATAGGGGAATAAATCGTATTCCGTGATGTTGAACTATAAGTGTTTTTTGAGTAGACCACTTACTCATACATTTGACATACGAAAGGAAATTTTTCTTAAACTCATAACTGTGAGACGGATACAGTTTAGAAACCCACACTCACACACACATGATTCAACAGTACAACGATTATGACGAAGTCTATTTCATCATTACTTATTATCCTTATCTTCTTCTTCCTAACACCTATTGTTGAAGTAACTCCTAATGCACATTTTGTTCGACCATATACTGAAGGTTTTCAATCACATTGGTTAACTAATTCTAATGATAATAAAGATGATTTATTAAAATGATGGTTTGATCATAAACGAGTGATTGGTTCAAATAGAAATCGTGCTGCTGCATCATCATTATTCAATGTTCTACATCTCGTTATTCCATTTAAAGGTTAAATATGATCACTATTATATTCTTCTTGACTCAATTGTTTATTTTTATTTAGGATGTATTGATTCATCGGAACCATTTCAATGTCCTCAAAGTCAACAATATATTGCTCTCCAATTTATTTGTGATGGTCATCCAGGTGATTGTCCTGATAATCTTGATGAAAATGAAGAAACATGTATTGCAGCTAAACATCCAGTAAAGGAAAATATTGAAAAATATCTTCATGCTGCATATACATTTCTATTTGGCGAAAAACTTTCGAGAAGTATTGATGAAAATAAAATATTTTCGTTTGATACATTAGCATCAGCATTTTCTTATTTTTGCTAATAAAAGATAGTTATTATTTTCTAGTGTCGAAAAATATTCATAGTTTTGCTGAAAAAACATTTATGTCATCAGGTGATCTAGCACATTTTCGAAATATTTTTCAATTAATTCATGATGAACGATTAAAAGATATTCCTTTATTTGCACAAGAAGCTGTTAATCAAGGTCTTGCAGCCTTAGTTGAAAAGCTCTATGACTCGGGATTTATGGATTAATTAATAAAAATATAAAGAAAAAAGGATAAATTTTGTTCATATGATTTTTGAAAATTAATAAATAAATGAGAGCATTATGAACTTTTCATCTTTTAGAATTATCAATGTCATTTATTACAAACAAAAGCTTACATATCGTCATTTAAAAAAAGTTCTTATAATAATATTACAGCTAAAACACTATCAAAAATCCATTTAATTATTTTCATCATAATTAGTATATTTTTGATCTTTATTCTGGGTTCTTTCTTTTTGTTTTTTCTTGTCATATCTTGTTCTTTGTAAATCTCGATGATTTACTTCTACATTATAAGTTACTTTTAACAATTCAACCAGTCGTTCAATAACAGCTACTGATCGATGTTGACCTTGTTCACATCCAGCTGCTAGTTTTATTGAATTTTTCTTCTGATTATGAATGAAAATTGATAGTTGTTCCGTAATCATTTTAATTATATCTGCATATTCCACTAAATTTAATAATTCATTTTGTATTCGTCTATGTCGTCCATCGTATTGTTGATAGTTTTCAACATTAGTTGTAGGAAAATGACGTATTGAATACAATAAATCAATATTTTGTGGAACACCAAATGAATGACCAAATGAAATTCATTCGATAGTAATATCTTCAGCTTCAACCATTAATACCAAATTATATTTTTATAACGTTAGAAATGAATTAAACCTCAGTATACAAGGTTGATTTTCATACCATGTTAAAAGAGGAAAAACAATATTTCAGTAAGAAGAGAGTGTCGTCAGACGACATACATGAGTCACGATTCTGATGTTTTTATCGCAATTATACGTGCTTCAAAAATGACATACAATAAAATAGATGCTTTTTATAGTTCTATGTAGTACATTCTAACCTATAATAAACATTTCAGAAATTTCATAGTCGATTATCATATCTAGTAATACTCGTTAAAGATCACAAAAAAAATCTGTTAATATCTTTAATAAATATTTTCACCTCGATGTTGAAAGCACGATTTCAAGGCTGTCACAGTTATCCTAAAATGGAGTCCAATTTATATAGTTTCGGAGTACAAGTGACACTAATTTATCTAGTTGATTCATTATCGATCATCAGCTGTATTTTCAGTTGTAAACATTTGTTAGAAGAAAACAGATCTTAACTTTTGGTTTTTCTTTCTTTTTTAATTATCCCGCAATGTGAAAAAAACAATATCGAATCTTGTACGGCATTTTTTTTATTATAAAAAGAGTAGATAAAATTTATCTACCGTGCGTTTCTGCCCTTATATACTTATGTTTCACTTCATATTCGGTCACTTCTATGACGAATATTGTAGAAAATGACGTGCAAGACAGTTCTCTTTTACCAGTTTTTTTTCATTCGTTTGTAGTGACGGAATTATCGGGGGAGCCCAGCTCTTTTTAGGAAATTTGGACTTTAATTGAGCTGTTAAACTTTCGTCTTTAAAGAGTTTTAACCCGTATTTTGAATACTGAAGTGAAGCGCAGTGCTATTGATGGAAAGTACCTCCCTTGAGTTGTTGGAAATGTAAAGACAAATTTCTGTGGATTTGCAGATAGTTTTAAATGAATTTTCTCTGATTTTACAGTCAGTTTCTAGAAACTATCATTGAATGATATTTGTGACTCGATTATTACCGATGCTTTACTATCTTCGTCATTATCAATATGGCTATCATTAGCAGCAATCATTTTTTCTGCTAAGTACAAATATTATAACTTATGATATTCTTAACTAACCGTGTACAATAGACAGACGATTGTATACAATGAATTGAAAGATTTGGATGATTCGTAGAAAATACTTCAGAAAGAAAAATATATCGGTGAAGAACAGCCTCAGCAAGTGGAGTACCAAGAATTCATCGGATATGTGTTGTGAGGATGAAAAGATGAAGATGATAATCCTCTCTGTTTATTCGTATAAAAGCACACGCTATATATAGGATGGTGGAACACCCTGTAAGGGAAATGTCCAACATGAGATCAAGGGAACAAGATGAGGAAAAGTCCCATAACATATAGCGTCACATAGATAGATGATAGAAGAGGAGAAATCCATATAACATAACTAAAGGAAAAATCCATGAACGATATAGAAGAGAACGAGAACACACATATAGAAGAAGATGATGAATCACACTATATATGATATATGTATACGTAACAACAGAACGAAAGAAACTATACATATATGCCGTAAGAAAGAAATGAAGAAAGATGATGATACCACCTAACATACCTCATACGCCACGAGATGAAGCGTCCTCGCTCATCAATACAAAAAAAATAATAAATAAACATTTATCTTTCATAAGCTTAAGCTCGTCGATGAACCTTAATCAGTACTGTTGCACCCTGACGGTATCGAGAAGAATTTGCCACCTTCTTCTTATTTGATACTGACCGTGTAAACTGAATTGTTTGAAAACATTATTCTATTTCATAACATACTGTTGAAGTCTTGACGTGAAAATTAATCTCGATGTATCATTGTTATATATATTTAATGTCGATGTTTTATCATTTCATTTGTGAAAACACGTAAATCCATCAATTATATTTAGTTGAGCAGTTCCATACCAAATTAAGGGCCAGTTCCGGTGAGATAGTCATAACTCAGTGGTGATGTTATGAAACAGCAAAAGCATAAGACCAGTTTTTGAGCAACGATCGACTAGTACCATTTAGAATAGAAGGACATCGTAGGATGGTAGAGACGAATATAACAATTACACTTAGAGATCCAACATCAAGAAAAATCGTATGTGGATCTATGGATGTCTTTGTCGTCGGATCGTTGTGTATAGATGTTGATGCAATCAATATCAGGAACAGTAT